ATAAAAATAAAAAATTAAAAATAAAACAATAAAATAAAAAGTTAAAAAATTTATTGGAATATGGAATAGTCATATTATTTACCTGGATAAATGGAGAAATGGTATCATGCAAGATCCGAATAATAAACCTACAACTAACAACCACCAAAAGATATCGGAAAGTGTAAATATAGCATTCCAATGGACCGTTTTATTTTCAACTACTTGATATAATGCGGCCCCTTCTTTTGTGCGGCTATTTCTATTCTTAGCGTGCCTTAGAAGACATATATATACAATGTTCATTACCCAAGATAAAAAACATGTAAATGTAGCTACAAGGAAAGGCATACGATATTCAAAAGATGGCACCATAGACAATGGCACAGCTAATATTGTTGCGAGAAAGGATGCCTAAATTTTATAGGAATATTTATGATTAAAAGTTATATAAATATTTAAATAGTATACTTTATAAAAGTTTATTGTCTGAACGAATTATTCATAGATGGAATAACTGCTATACAAAACTTACTAATCTTCCCAAAGTCATACCAGCAGCTAAAGCAAATCCCAAGCCGCTCCCATGAAAAAACTGAACAATTATCGTTTCTTGGACGATGGTCAAAGGCGCCAATCCCATGCTATACATTTATAAAAATTTGGATGGCACCTGTTTAGCTTATTATTTCCAAATATGGAAGAGAAAATATAAAATATAATAAGCAATTGCTCACCCAAATATTGTAAACCCAAAAATCATTAATCCAACTTTACCAGTCCAACACGCGGCTGTTACAATAATTGTCCCAATCAAAATTATGGACAATTACGCGAAACTGAAGAGATAAACAGTGAAGGACGAATACTTACAATGAGCATGATTGATGAAACAGCTCTTTCAAAAACAGCAATATCAAATAAGAAGAAAAGAACTATAATATATATGTGGATAATGGGCTTGATGCTTGCTATATGCTGGATTGTTTTTGGAGTGGTTGCTTATGAGAAGGCTGGGGTACACGCCAATGCTAGTGAGTAATTAAGTTCTAATGTTTGAAGGCTAAGAATAATTACCGTTGTTTTTGCAAACATTGTAAAGTCATTACTACGAGTACCTTAAAAAAAATTAGTTATTATTAATAATCTATATATTCTACTTAATAATAAATTGTACGAAAAATTCAATTTTGGCTAAATTCATAATAGACTAGGAAAGATGATTTGCAATACTGCAATAAATCGCTCAATAATTGATCCTACAAGCATACAGTACGCACCCTCCTTAAATGCAATACCCTTTCAATGCACGCACTGATCCAATCTCGAGTTTTTTACTGCAAAACCTATAAATGAACACTCTAAATGTGAACTGATCTAAGGGCTCTAGAACATAATTATTATAACCATCCTGCAGAGATTTTCATTAAATCAGTTGTCAAACTAATGTATATCACTACGTACAACACTAGGTATTATTCCTACCTACTCGTCTGGTTTAATAATACGTATCGATATACCATACCATGCCGAAATTAAGCACCCTTTTTATGCTGGCCAAGATCATTATAATGCAGGCCAAAATTGACATAGTGCAAGCTTATTTTCGGAGGGTACTTAATGTTACGTATTATATTTGTATCTGTTGTGCCTTGATTTAATTTTACATACATATACTGTATTTGCCTAATTTAATTTTACATACGTACATATACTGTATTTGCCTGATTTAATTTTACATAACCTATACGTATATGTATCTGTTGTGCTTTCAAACACCGGCTTACCTCAGATCGCAGCTATGCATCCCAGATAAAGATCATCATATGATGCATAGCGTTATATAATGTGCATCAAGATTTTGTAATTAGATTTTATTTAATATATAAAAAAAATAGGGTTTTACCTGTATAATTTATCCCGTAGCAATATGTCTTAAAAAATCATGATTTGTAAGCAAGGTTTGAAATTCCGCATATATGGATATATCGCTATTGCGATAAATTAAAACCATATAAAATAAATAATTATTATAAAACACACCAATGATGTTTTACACCTATTATATATTTTTCTTATGTTTTACCACGAAATCCTGAAAAACAGATTCCCGAAAGGACGTAATACCGACAAAGTTAGCCGGCATTAGTTATAATGCTGGCCAATTTAGTCGGTATTATGTTCTTTCGAAAAAATGGCATTCGGGATTTCGTGGTAGAACCATTTTTCTCTAAGTCTTTATAAGTTTTGTATATAAAATTTTTAATACAAATTTTTTCACATTAGGATTAGGGTTTGAAAGGGTTTTTTAAGGCATAGAACATTTTTACTTAGAATACTTTATGCTGATTAATTAGCCAGTTTTTGAGAAAACATATACATATATACTTGCTGCCCAAATCCCAAATTACTATAGTTTGAATTTGTCCACGCCCAAATCCCAAATTCATCCCAAATTATGGGTTTGGTCAACCAAATTCGTATATTTCTTGATCAAATTCGTGATATTACACGAACTTCCATTTTGATTCA